CTCTCTCTCTCTCTCTCTCTCTCTCTCTCTCTCTCTCTCTCTCTCTCTCTCTCTCTCTCTCTCTCTCTCTCTCTCTCTCTCTCTCTTTTTTTTTGCGCGCGCACACTCGACCCGGAGACCATCACCCCATCCCCCTCCCCCTGTCCGACCAGTACTGCTCCCGCTCCCGCTATCCTTCTCACGCTATCCGGATACCACCAACACTCCCGTTATCCCGCCCCACTATCCCGCTCTCTCTCTCTGTCTGTATGTCTCTCTCTCTCTTCCCCCCCCCCTCTCTCTTTCTCTTTCTCTTTCTCTCTCTCTCTTTCTCACTCTCTGCATACCAGATACTGACAAAGGTGGCGCCTCAATGCAGGTACGGGAGATGCTCTCTCTCTCTCTCTCTCTCTCTCTCTCTCTCTCTCTCTCTCTCTCTCCTCCCCAATCCCTACACCCACCACACTGAGTCAGTTCTCGGAGGAATGTATTGTTGGGTTGGTTACCTCCCTCCGTCTCCCCCCCCCCCCCCCCCCTTCCTAGCCTGACCCGATTGCCTCCAGTGACCTCCATCCCCCCATTATCTACCTCCTCCCCCAAAAAAGAGAGGGAATGCAAGGCTCCTTTTTCTTGTTTTTTTCAAAAGAGGTTGGGGGTGTGAGTTCGAGGTGAAGTAGAAACACTCACTGGAGTCAGCCATGYTGGGGAAGCCTCCAACAACGTAGCCGCAATCCACGTCGAAGCTCACGTCGGAGCACTTAGCAGGAACTCACGATCCATGCACGAACCACCCATCCACGAAGCTCCGATTCACGAAAGCACCAACTCACGAAGTACGAAGCACCAAAGCACTAAGCACGGAGCCCCAAGTAGCACGGACCACTGATTCACGAACCATGAATCGCAAAGCACCATGCACCGAATTCACCACACACCCACAATGCACCAAGCACCAAGCACCAAATCCACAATGCACCAAGCACCAAGCACCAAATCCACAATGCACCAAGCACCGAATTCACGAAGCACCAAGCACCGAATCCACAATGCACCAAGCACCAAATTCACGAAGCACCAATCACGATGCTCCAAGCACCGAATCCACGAAGTAGCAAGGGCGAAGCACGAAGCATGATGCACATAATCTACGATGCTCCAAGTACGTTGCCCGAATCCACGGAAGCACCAAGCACGATGCAATTCACGAAGCACCAAGCTCCTCGTCGTTTGGACGTAGGAACGAAAGGTCATTGTGCAGCTACCGGTCGGCAGTTGGGTGGGAGGGTAGTTGGGAGGGTGGACGAAGTTGAAGAGGCCTCAACAGCAGGTTGGGATGTGGTCGCCGTAAGAAAAAAGAGGGCGTGGTCCCTTTTTTTTTCGTTCCAATGCCCCGACCGGTCTATCAAATAATTGGGGTCTGGGGGGGGGATCTTGAAATGGTGTGTGTTTTCGGTGCATGTGGTTGGCCAATTTTTTTCTCTTTTTCTTTTTTTGTGTAATTGTAACTGTAACTGTAACTGTTAATATATGTGCATGGGCCGATTCTGCATGATTCTGCACAGATTGTGTAAAATCGTCGGCCCAGCTTTCACGCCCGAAGAGGAATTGGGTTGATAGCGTGAATCTGCCTGATTGTGGATTTATCCATGGGCAGATGGCATCTTCGTTCAGGCGCGTGTACGAGCTGTGGTAGAAAACTGGTTGGGAAAAACAAAGCGTTTTTTCCTCCCTTCGTTTTGTCGTTTCTTTTTTTTTCACTTCACTTTACAAAACGGTCAGTAAGAACGGAGGTGTGTGCTCCAGAGAGTGCCGTGAAAAGGTAAGCTGGAGGAAAAAGGCTTTTTCCACGTTCACATCGTCATTCTGCGTGATGCACATGACTGCCTTTCGGACTGTGTGCAGACGTAGACGAGCCGGAAAATAAAAACGGAAAAAATTGAACAGGCAAGTCGGAAAAGGCCGCAGTGGTCCGCTGAGAGGCAGAGGATGTTGGGATGGGACAGTGCTACCATCTAAGGAGCTGGGAGGAGGGAAGCATTGAGTAGTCCAGTGAGGGGTGGAAGGTTCTGTTCTCACGGCTACTCACTGCGTGTACGACTGCATTGCCATCCTGATGAGACACATTGTCACATTGCCACTACGTGCTTTATGGCGG